GATGATACTAGTGGACATTTTTCCAGGCAGCCGTCTATAGGCAATAAGCGTTCTATATATTATACATTGAGTTCAGTGAAATTATCTCTAATGATTTCGGTCGTCCCATTAGAGCAGTTAACCGATCGATTACTACGACGGCCACAGAGTCGTTTCAAACATCCGCCGACAATATGGATATTATACAGATAGGTGTATACATAATTTTTTGATAAATATTAAACGGTTCAAGTATAATAAATAATAATATACGGTACATGTTTACACGCACGCACGTCGGTAGGTTTTATCGGTCGTTCAAAGGACGCGAGATGGTTCGAATATTAACCATGGCCGCTATTACCGTTAATTAACCGCGGTTTATGTAATACTAAAAAGTAAAATGTGAAAATAACTTGTACGCTGTCTTGGGGAATTTCAATAATCACAAAAATGTAGCGTGTAACCGGTAAAACTATATCATGTGGAAATAAATAATAATATTTCATATCTAGACAAGTAGCAGCAGCAGCAGCAGCAGCAGCCCCGGCCCAGGTCGAGTCGGACGGTTGTTTTTATTAACTGGAAAACGTGTAGCTAATATCATTTTGTCTTCCGTTTCATTACCTTGTCGTTGCCGTCACTACTGCGGCTATCACTGTGTAGTCTTGACGATAAAATATCGTTGCCAGTTTATAGCAGCTAGTTTATGAAACATAATATAATGTAGGTGTACAATATAAACGCGCAACTAAAAGCGTCCGGAAGACTTTAAAACACTTGTCCGGCCCCGAAATGAAATTCTCTTGCAATGTGATGATCGTGATAGATGAATGAGAACGCGCGATGCGTTTAATTATAACAATAATCGTTTAATACAAACAACGCCAGTCGGATAATTAATATGAACAATCGTTATTTGTCAGTTATATACGAGAAGATCATTTATTTATTTGATTAATTGCGACACAAACCTGTGTTGCAAAAATTCACTAGAAAAATGTATTTAATACCTATATGGATATTTTAAGAGGAGTTGTTTCCTTTAGAGTGTTGGAACAATAACATGTAAGAACATTACTGGAAATTGTTGACAGCGTTCGATAATTCAAAAACGGTTAAGCAGAAAAAAGTTGTTTTATTTTTATTTTTCGATTCACCGAAAATATTTATTCGCTGTTTGGCGTTCAAGCCGAACGCGTCAGTCAATCTTCCAGTGTTTTTCTTGGACTTTTTCTATTGATTTTACGTCTTGGACGTTTTCGCCCGGTCCTCAGCTTATAGGTAAAAGTAAACAATTATTAGCGCACAAACTTGTCCGTGTGCGTTTAAATTGTATGTTGTTATTATAATATTTACAATGAAAAAAAAATAAAAAGGAAAAGCCAAGTTTATAGCGTGCGAGCTTTTTATACTATACAGGGTAATCAATAAAACGTTAAGCATCCATTTATCTTTTTTTTTAACAAAAAAAACCAAAAAACTGTTACAATATAGTTGTTTTTTACTAACATTTTAGTTTACACCATTTGAAATTATTACGCCTTTTTAGGTTTTTTTAACGGCCTATAAACTTTTGAAATCTAAATGATAACCCACATTAGTTTTACCAACTATAATTAAATCAAGAATAATCCACTAAAATTTTGTAAGTGCCCGATAAAAGTGAAAAAGTTTTTACCAAGGGACAAGTGCGGTGTAAATGTAATGTAATAATTTATTTATCTGCATTTTTCTCGGCTTGGAGTTTTTTTTAAATGTTCATAATTTGAGAAGTAGTAATTCAAAAGTTTTTTTATCGACCGACGATTATTATTTTTAGTAGGTCGTTCTTATTTTTTTTTTTTTTTTATAAAGTAAAGCAGATTGTCGTTTAGTTGTCAAAAGTTAACAAAGCTGTGTAGAAACAAAAAGGGCGAATGTTGATTTTTTTTTTAAAGGAAAATTAGAGTCTCACGTTAATATACTAAAATTAAATAGATATTTTTTACAAAATGTGTTTTCGCATTCGAGTTATAATACGGATGTTGAGGTTTGTGTGGATCCAGACAATAAAAAAAAAAAAATAACACAAATTGTTGCAATAACAAGCTGACATAATAAGGGTTCAGCACGTGCTTAAGCAACGTGATCGTTACACTAAGAAAAATATACAATATAAATTATTTAATTTCTGTTTCAACAAATATATATACAAACAATCAGACCATTTCTACCTGTTGCCTTACGGTAAAAAAAACATCCTAGTTGGTCCAACTAAACTTAAGGTCAATAAATGTCTAATAATTGGAATAACCAAATAAATAGTTGGCCCAACTATTTCTTTAGTTATTCCAACTAGACAGTAATTGTGTCCCAATATTATAATATGGTTAAATCGGCTCTTATAAAATATAATAACATAATATCATTATAATCGTATATTGTTTATTTAAATTGGTATTAAACACCACAACCGTAATACCGTATTGTTTTGGAAATCTTCGGGACGTTTCGTGTATTTATAATTTCGGCACTTCCGATTCACACGCGTTGTAAATGTTAATGATAATAATAATAATCGTTAATTTTCGTCGTCGGTCCTATACAAGTGCACGTACCTATTCTATACAAGTGGGCATGCATAATATGCGTACGTTGTATTTGAGTTTTTCGAACGCGATTTCCGGTCATCCGTTTTCGGGCTTTCGATTTATTATAATAATAATAATATTATATCATTAAATTGTTATATTGTTATGATCAACAGCTGACCGCCCCCCGCGCACGATTACCACCATGGGAGACCGGCCAACAACGAACAAATCCACCGCCGGAATCTATTATCTACACACACACACACACAAACTGTATAAAACATTTGAGTGTAGGTACACATATAGTAGCCAACAATATTAACTGTGTTTCCGTGTGTGTACATTGAATTATCGTACAAATCGCACATAAATCAATCAAAGGGGGGGGGGAGAGAGAGGGGTAGAGTATAATACATACACACGTTATACATAGGCGTTGTTGTTGGACGAGGCGTGATGTATACAATATATATATATAAATGAAATTGGGCGACACCGAGTGCAATCCGATTGTGCAGAAGGTTTGAGATGTAAATTTGCCAAGCCCTTATGTTGGATTTTGCGCGCGAAATCGTTGCCATATAAGGAAACCTGTACGATCTCAGGTCGAAGGCGACACGGTAAACCGACACGGATATTAAGGGTAAACTTTAGGAACGCGTACGAGCGCCGCCGTTTGGGGTCAAGTAGTCGAGCGATAATTATCGACAACGATGAAGATGACCTTTGAATATTCGAGATCCGATTAACGTGTGTAAAAATAAATATTTATAAACACAATAATTATTATGACAAAAAAAAAACACATTAATTATTCACCGCCGCAAAACGTTTAATTACAATTTCATAACTTTAATATAGTAGTATTATTTATACATAGGTCGGGTTCAGGCTATTCCGGTAACATAATTTAAGTTTTTTTTTTTTAAACTACTACGCGGTCGGCGACGTTAACGTTAAATGATAAAAATTATTTATCTTAATTATTTATGCTGAAGTTTGTCAGTGCCGGAGCGGAGCGGGTTTAAGAGATAAATTTTTATTTTTTTCGCACCCGGAAAACATAAATTCAAAAGTATTTTTTCGGCGTAAACGGCGTACGCAATCTAAGACAAAAATCAGACGTTGAGTCGGTGTTCCCGTAAACGGTGTGTTTACAGCAAATAAAACCGGCTGCGGTCATGTATACTCACATTTTTGGCTGATCGTGGAAAAAAAAAATACATATAACAGCTATCCGTGGAACACGGCCGTTTTTGTAAACCATCGGAAATACACTGCCGGGGGGTCGATGGACAGGAAATGGGGTCTGAACACGAAATCACTGTGTATATATATATATATATATAGATATATACACACACACATACACACCGCCAACCAGCCCTTACGCTTTTTTCATTATCTTATCCGCAAAAAAAAAAAATAAAAGACTAACGGATTGCGAACGTTGAAAAGCTTCCCACCCGCCGCGCGCGTTCACGGTTGCCGAGCACAATTTTTCAGTCCATCGTGTGTCGAACAATAGGCCGGCAAACTCGCCGGGAAATTTTTATATACATTTTTTTTATATATTTTAACCCGAGCTTGACGGGGGTGCAACAAAAAAAAAAAAACACCCCCGGTCTGAGGGCAAGACGCCTGTGCTCCGACGACCGTCAATAACACAGCATCAATCCTTTTATTATTATTATTATTATTATACATTCTGTGTAGGTCATAATAATCTGTGTGTATCGTGCGCTTTATTTCTAAGGAACAAAAAAAAAAAAGCACATCAGCAAGCTTTCTATAATATGTACAATATGTTACGCGTGTGCTCGGTCGGTATTGTTATCGCAGCTATACGTTGGAAATTTAATATGGTCATTGATCGTGTTGTTGAATTTCTTTACTCTGGCCCAGTATGTAATATATATGTCTAGGAAAACTCTAATGTATAACGTTACTACATTTTTTTTTGTAATAGGTCCGTTAAGTTAAAAAAAAAAATAATAATAAGCAAAATGTTTGTGTCTTGAACACCTTGAACACCTAACTTGCAGACACCCCAACAACAAATGCGCGTTCCGGTCGAATAAATAAACGTCGTCGGTTCGGTTGACCGTCAAAATATTAATATGTTTAATAATATATATTGACCGTAGTCGGTGTAGACACTGTGTAAATGTAATACAGTGGTGTGTGTGTGTATACGTGCTATAGGGTTTTGTTACTACAAGCAATCGTCCTGTATAGAATCCGTTTATCAATATAGACACACATACACGCACAAACTTTGTAAAGGATAACACGTCTTCTTGATTGATTTCGTCCAATAATGATAATAATACCCATCTACCGGAGCCGGACAACAACAACTGCATGGGTGTGGTGTGTACACACAGTTGTATTAAACAATTTATATTAACAACTGTTATATTATATAATGGTTGCTGGACTCACCTTCGGCGGCGTTGACGAGCGCCAACAGTACGGCTAACGCGTACACGGGTCCAGGCCGACTCCTACACTTCATTATACGGTTCTGGTGGTGTGGCTTCGCCCTGTTGATTAATGAGGGGAGGGTTTAGGGTTTAGGGTTTTTGTGGATTTTTACATCATTCTTGTCCGTCGCGTCGCTCGTTCACTCTCGGGAATCTCTGTAAAAACAATATACATAGGTACATAAGTATTTGACAAGATAATACATTTGTAATCTATACAATAGTATAATGTAGACTAATGGTCGCGCAAGCGGTAATTATACATTAGGCCGGGATGGGATGTACTTATTGTGGATACTTGTGGGCAACACTATATGAGCTGTGCGGAGGTGGTCGGGTAAGTAACGACCGGTCGACTCGTTCATTACAGCCCGGAATCGATTCGGTGGTAGACCAGAAACGACCGGAGACAATGGATTAGTGTTACCCGACTAAATGGCAGGCAAACGGATTACTGTTGGTCGGAAAGACCATATATCTCCGGGGTATACAACAATATCGAAGAACATGGGATTGAAAAGAAAATCGAAAAGTTTTCCTTCAATCTTAATTGGGTTTGTGTATAATTACGTTATTGAAATCATCTCGTCCGGTTTTACTCGCGGTCGGTCCGCTTTGATTATTATTATTATATTGTATACCTATCTACCCCCCAATACACAATTAACCACAACCGAGGTTCACGGTCGATTGCGTTTCCTTAGGCCTGCGCCTTCGTCGACATGATTAACACAACCAACGTACACTGTATAGCCATCGCAAACGATACATCTTTGTATTGTTATTATAAATTATAACGTCTTTTGTTCTACTTGTATAATAATATGTATATTAATAATTACGACGTTCCGGCCGTATAGTTGTTAAGATTATTAAACTTTGCGTTATCGACGACCGTATAGTATTATATTATATGGTCCCGGTTGTTATTATTGTTAATCCTAGTTAAAAAAAAAAAAAACACAATAAATCTAACGCGTATACCAATATGTATAACAATCGTGTTGTAACCGATTTCAAAATTAACATGTACTAGAGAAATGATACATATATTTAATATTTTTATTGGATTATCATACTGTGGCCGACTTTAAACGCATTTGCTCGCTGACGGTTATTTAAATTATTGTAACCAATAAACGATTCTTTTTTCCAGTATAATGCGCGTTAAGTTTTATATCTTTTTTTCTCTCATTAGGCAAACCGTCCTTTACGGAAATTACCTACGCGGCAAGCGTTATGTTTGTTCGACCGGAGGAGGACTGACGATGAAAAAACCGCCGATGGACAAGTGCGCGCAGTCAAGTGGTTCGGGGAATATTCTAATAGGTCCCACAGTGTGTATAAAGGTTTTTTTCTTCTTTTTATTTCTCCGTTCGGGTCAAGTGGTTTCTTCCACTCGGCGTGTGTCTAAGCATATTCCGGTCGCACACACGCATACGACCCCACTCGAGAGAAATCCCTGGTGGACACTAGGCGGCGGGGGAGGGGGTGACGCCCGTCCATATAGGAATCAATTAGCAGCCGTAAAACACGTTTCTGTACTTAGGACCCTCGCGGTATAAACACCGTCCAAACTGGGTCGAAGACGTTTACCAGACACACAACGTTTCAAAGTGTCCAACGCGGAGGCGGTGGTACGACGGTCAAGTCCTATTCTTGTCAAAGTATCAAACTACAGAAACAAATTATTCGGCGTTCATTATTATTATACTTTATTATTATAACGCCTCGGTGTGTTGTGTGTATGGGAGCGACCATTATTGTGTACACGCGATGAAATGTAAATTATAATTGAAAATTTAAAAAAAAAAAATACCCAACGCGTTCGGTTCAACGGAAATACGGTTACTGCGGTTTAATCGATTGGGTCTTTGACAAACATCCCTTTTCCAATGGCAAACATATAAACGCGATACCCGGTATACTAGGTATAACCCGGACGGGGAAAAATGATACTAAAATGTTTTTTTATTTATCTTTTACACACACACACAAAACATTGACACGGCGTTAAAACAACTTATTTTCCACAGCATGTTGTTTTGTTTTCGGAGACAAATGTAGTGTATTTGTTTTACTTATTTATTTATTTGTCTTATAAGGGAGGGAGTGAGGGCTGCTATATATACGTTTTGCAAATAAAAACTTGACACGATAATAAGCGGTCGTGCGCGTAAGGAAATTGAAATTCAAAAGGCGTTCGTGAGACGATAAGAAGTTAGCCGTGCGGCGGTATTGACTTTAGGCGCCCGCAAGAATTCGGTAATCCGCGAGAAAAACTTTCAGAGTCTTTAAACGGTTGTTTTGCCTGTTAAACTTTCCATGCACGACATGCACACCTTACAATACGGTTTATAATTTTTTTTTGGTTCGCTTTTCTTGAGATAATACCGAAACGGTGTTGTTTGCCGTTTTTATGCGCCCGCGCGCTATTATAATTCCCACGTTGAGAAATTAAATATTGAACGGACATAATAACCTTCTAATAAGAGATACACAAGTGTTCCTCGTGGGATATTTAAACGAAACGAGTGCTTGCATTGTTTACAACAGTGTAATAGTTCCTACGGGGGAATTTTGAATAAAAAAAAAAACAAGTTTGTTTACTCTAATCGACACGGAAAATAAAATAGCTCAACTATTATAATAGTTATGATTGTCTAATGTAGGCCCCATAGGGACACAATACATTTATAGTTTGTTAGACCGACAGGAGACGAAAAGGACTCTCGGTATATTTTCAACAACGACATCAGCCACTTATGTATAGCCAAACCAAAACGATGAATGCAAATTCAGTAGATAATAATATATACAACTATTGAAAGACAAATCACAAACGCAAAATATGTGCTCACAATTTTTGACGAAGAATTAAATCTTGATAGATTTCGCGATGGCTTTGTAGAGAAAAATAAATATTATATTAGGCGTTCAAGTGAGTGTATACAAATATTATATATTCAATAAAACCCCGTTAGAGCATTTTCATTATGTATACAAAAAAAAACAGACTTTAATAATTTTATTCCATTGGTCTCGTGTTTAAAACATGAACAAAAAAATACAAATAAAAGTAAACAACATTAGTCTTTTGGTGCGAAGATGAATGAAACTGTTTTGTCATCGCGCTCTTCGGGGGCTGTATATGTGTACAGTGTGAAATAACACAAAAGCCAATGCATAATAAAAACGGGGGTTGACAATAATAACCGCTTTTAGCGTTCGAATTTGTAGAAAATAACAAACAACACGAGTTATACATTAAAAGAGCGGTTGTCTGAAAGAGATCTACAATATTTTTATGGCCAGAGTCCAGTTATAGGCGCGGCCCGCTCCCCAAGTCATTTCGGCGGGTGTTCCCCCTTTCTTTTTTTTTTATTTAAATAATAATATTATAAAATATCGCTTCCGCCCCAAAACGATACACGAGCCACACAGCTCGGTAGTTGTTATTTTCTTAGACAATGGACATAATGCGACGTTAAGCGTCTCCGCCATATGGGAGTCATTGTTTTTTAGTTTTTTTTTTTCATTCTTATATAATATACCTGCGCTTGAACTGTACACGACACTAAGGACCGACGTTCGGCGTTTTTTTTGGAAACAAATAGAATACAAAATATTATATATATATATATATATATTATATTATAATATTATTGTAAACCGAGAGACGGCGGCAGGCAGACAGTGGATTTATTTTATCGTTAATGACACTCGTAAAAGTCCGCCCTCGCGACATGAACAGATAATACCGTTCACGTGTTGCACATATTATCGTTATTAATATTCGAGAAACGCTGGTCCCAATTAAAAAAAAAAAAAAAACCGTGTCGTTCTTCGAATTTCACTCTACATACCCACCCTCCACCCCATGACACACAATCGCCAAAACTACCCACCATAACGAGTAAGACACACACACTGGCACTTCTGGCGCTTTGCCCACGCCTCGCAAAAATGAAAAACATGTGTGGTCCATCTTTGAATAAACAGCAGCAGTTATCGCGGGGGGCAAAAAAAATGTATATATATATATATAGTACTAGTTGGCTAATGAATTGACTAACGATGTTTGCTGTTTTTTTTTTTATACACAACGCCAATTAAGAACGTTTTGCGCGCAGACGCCGTTTGTTTGTTTTTATTATAATTTTTTTCCACAAGGCGTTTTTGCATATCCTTCGACCGGGTCTTCCGTCTTCCGAGGAGTCGAAAATTAATCAATTAGTTACACAAGAGGCCGACAAGCGCAAGTCACAATACTAGCCTAAATTCGTATAATGATCTATAGAGCATTGCTCTTGAGCTACTACTCTTGTGCGTATTATATGGTTGAACGAATGGAGGATCCTACGAATAATAATCATTTCTTGTAAATATGTACTAAACGTTTGGTCGTATACTCGGTAGCGTTTTAACGACGGCCGTGTACTACTAGAAAAAAATATAAATACATATATTTTTTACTACAACGCACTTCGAAGACATATCTCGTGTTTCATACATATATATATATACACATAATATAGCGTGTGTATCGATTTACACGCGACCGGTTTTTGTACCGCATACATATTGCGCATTAATAAGGGATGACGGTGGGACGGTCGTGTTCGGCATGTGATGCTTATTTAGAGAGACGTCGCGAAAGAAAAAAAAAAATCTCATACTTACATACAGCATTATACGTGAAAGATTGTTTTTTTATTACTGTACAACTATGTATAATACACCGATGTGTCTGATTTTACCGTCATTCTCTCAAACAACCCAACACAACAAGGCCTCGGGGACCTCCTGCGTCTTGTGTTCTCCGACGGGGTTGGACGGGGTCGCGTTACAGCCTCACGTCGTGCCGACCCCGTAACGCGCATTACATCGTGTTTAGAGGGGTTTAAAAGCCCCCCTCGACAGTGGCTTATAAAAAAAAAAATATATATATAGGTATACATTATGAAATTAAACAGCACCGGGAGAGGCGGGTAATATTCAGTGTATAATATCGAGAAAATGTGATTATCGGGATTACCGCGTTTTTTTTTTTTACTACATTGAGACGTCGTTTTAAAATTGTATTATCGTCGTTATAATGTACTTGGTTTATTATTATTATTATTATTATTATACAAATCCCGATTTTATT